CACACTGCAGGAGGGATTTTGGCCCACTCCTCCACACAGATCTACTGTAGATCAGGTTTCTGTTGCTCCCTCCAAAGCTTCTCTATTGGGTTTAGGTCTGTAGACTGGCTAGGCCACGCCAGAACCTAGATCTGCTTCTTCTGATGTTGGGAACATTAAAATAATTCTAGTTATTAAACAATGTTTTTCACTTTAGCTGTGGATAGGAAACAGGCGTTCACAGTGCTAACGTTACCATGGAAACGTGGCTAGTGAAACCACACCAGGAATGAAGCTCTAGAGCAGAGCTGGAAAAGCCTGGTGAAGGTTATTGGTGAGCTGATGGTGAACCTTCTGCTGCTGTTGGCAGGTGAACGTCCGCCAGGGACAGACGGTCTACGAGAGTCTTAATAAAGCGCTGAAGGTGAGAGGCCTGAGCCAGGACTGCTGCGCCGTGTTCCGCCTGCTGGAAGGGTAAGATGGCCGATCACTGCTGCACCTTAGAAAAAGATAAGGTTTCACTGCTGACAAGCCGTCATCTGGGGGATGAAGGAGACGCAGCCAAACGCCAATTTAAACTGAGAAAACACTAGTCTGGTTAAAATGGTCACAATCACCTCCGTCTCCCATCATCTCATTTACTGAGATTTGATTGGCCAACGGCTGCTGGTCTTCATGAGTCCCAGTCAGCAGACCTGCAGAGTTTTAATAACGAATTTAAAACCTATTTTTTTGTGGTTGATTGCAGTAAATCTCATGTTTGGTGAACTTGTTTGTTTCCATTTCCCAGTCGGAAGAGGCTGACAGACTGGGACACGGACATCACTCCTCTGGTTGGAGAGGAGCTGCTGGTGGAAGTGCTGGATGACATTCCTCTCACCATGCATAACTTTGTAAGTTCGCTGCCTGTCTAGGAGCTTCTTGTTGTGCATCCAGAGGTGAACATCTGCATGCGTCTCTCTCTCCATAGGTACGGAAAACCTTTTTCAAACTGGCTTACTGTGATTTTTGCCACAAGTTTCTTTTTAATGGCTTCAGATGTCAGACGTGTGGCTACAAGTTCCACCAGCACTGCAGCAGCAAAGTGCCTACGGTGTGTGTTGACATGGATACAGTGACCAAGCGGTGAGTCGGACCTGTTGCACTATAAAAACATCCTGCTTCTGGTGGATGATGGATGTTTGGATTGGCAGATTGATTTCCAGTTAAAAATGGCTTCATATTCAGTAGCATGGCGCCCTGTGAAGGTCAGGTTAGCAACATGATGCCAGCCTGTAAACGCTGGCATTCGCACTCTGCAGCCGTTTCATCCTGGACAAGCACGTGGCGACAGTGGAAAGGAACATTCAACAGAACCAGGCGTAGTTTGAGCTGCTGCTTCCGATGCCCAGTAGTTGGTTTTTCCTCCCTAGGCCGATACCTGGTGTTTCCAAAGACATTAATGAAGACGTAAATATTTAAAGGTGGGATAGAGCGAGGTATTGCTTGGAGGAAATGCTGACCAGGTTTCTCTCGTTCCCTCAATGCTGTGTGTAGGTGTGATGCCAATCCCTGCACAGATGATTATCCTCAGATACTGTTGCCTGAAAACTCTCCCTCACAGAGCAACCTGGTCCTAACCCCAGAGCCTGCTGGGTAAGTCCTGAAGCACAGCTAAAGCATCAGAGCTAAAAGGAGCCGATAATGAAACAGAAACTGTTCTTGATGGCTTCAGAACAGGCCTCCTGTCCCCGACCTTCAACTTTCCAACAACAGGGGGAGATGGCCAGTCTCTACAGAGACATCGCTCCACCTCAACTCCCAATGTTCACATGGTTAGCACCTTGGACCCTGCTAATGTGGCCATCATAGAGGTCAGTCCACTGCTGGGGCCCGGTCTGGAAGCCCAACATGTTCTGCATGGTTTTAATGCTGTTTCTCCACTTTACAGGAAGCTCTGAAATACAACACAATCGGTAAATCTCTTTCCCACCTCTGCTTTCATCCTTTAAGTTTCACTGGTCTTAAACGCTGTCTCTTTAACGCTTTCCTCTCCCTGCAGGTCCTGAGCCCTCACCAAAACCCTCCACCAGCCCGCCCTCCTCTCTGGGCTCTCCAGGGAGGAAGCCACAGAGGTCCCCCTTAGAGCACAAGGAGCGCAAAACCTCTTCGTCCGACGACAAGAAGAAAGTGGTAGGAGTTGATCCTAAGCTGATGGAGGGCAGAGAAGGTGTCAGAGAGTAAAGGCTCTGCTTTGTGTTGCTTCAGCACCGAGGAGGCTACAGAGACTCTAGTTACTACTGGGAGGTCCCCTATCGAGAAGTCACCTTGCAGAAGAGAATAGGTACCGGCTCCTTTGGGACCGTCTTCAAGGGCAAGTGGCATGGAGACGTGGCCATCAAGATCCTGAAGGTCAAAGAGCCGACGCCTGAGCAGCTGCAGGCCTTCAAGAATGAAATGCAGGTCTTACGGTGAGCTGCTGCCGTCGCTGATTGATGACTGTTTGCTGACTGTTTGCTGACTGTTTGCTGACTGATCGCTGACTGATCGCTGACTGATCAATGACTGATGGCTGACTGATCAATGACTGATCGCTGACTGATCGCTGACTGATCAATGACTGATGGCTGACTGATCAATGACTGAT